TTAGGAATTAGTGCAACAAGCGGCACCATTTTTTGATGAATATTTTATATTTTATGATTTTCTTTTTTTCGTCTTTAATAAATATAATAAAATAAAAATGACGTCAAAAAATAATAAAATTTTGCAGACACAATGACAAAAAGAAGTAAAACGCTGTCAAAAAGTCCCTGGCCTGCGTAGTGGGGCGCCCAAGGGCCAGCTCAGGGGCCGGGATGCGTAACAAATTTACATTTTTATTTATGTTTCGCATTCTAAAATTAATATATGATTTTTCAGAATTAATGCAACAAGCGGCACAATTTTTTGATGGATATTCTATTTTTTTATGATTTTCTTTAACTTTTGTCTTTAAAAAATATAATAAAATAAAACAACTTTAAAAAATAATCAAATTTGGAGACATGATCCTTATATTTTTCTAGGCTTGTCAGAAAAAAAATGGCCTCAAAAAATGACAAAAAAAAAAGTAAAACGCTGTTAAAAGGCCCCCGGCCCGTGTAGTGTGTCTCCCAGGGGCCAGGTCAGGGGCTGAGATGGGTCAAAATTTTACATTTTTAGTTATGTTTTGCATTCTAAAATTAATATATGATTTTTCAGAATTAATGCAACAAGTGACACCATTTTTTGATGAATATTTTATTTTTTATGTTTTCTTTATATTATAAGGATAAGTAAATTACACTGTGACTGAATTGTTTCCAAAATATTCTGTTATGTCTAAGTTTAAAAAATATTCTTGAAGTGTATCATCTGTGTAGTGTTGCTTTCGTCTTCTGACATCTTCCTAGTCTTTCACGCACATTAGCCCCTCCAATATATTCGGGTACATTCTGCTCTTTTTCTTATCAAGAATTCGGCTGCTTGCACTAAATGCTTGCTCCGATGCTACTGTTAATACTGAAGTTGTCAGACTATCACGTGCTATCATGGACAGTGTTGAAAAATAATATATCTTGCTCTTCTAGTATTGTAAGATGTCCAGTTTGTTATCATCAATTACAAAATTAGATTCAAAATATTTTATTAGTTCTTAAGACACTTGTGTAGGTGACAATCTCGATGCTTTCTTCTTCCTCTTCAAGAAGCTCCATAATGATCCTTTAAACCCCGAATTGACAGTGTTTGTTGGCGAGGTCCACACTACCACCTTGATGCAACGATAGACATGTTTTCTAATGACTGTTAAGATGACTAGTACCCCAATCATTTTTGTTAGAAACATGTTTTTTATAATATTTACATACTGCACACATTTCAACTTCACCTGATTTTGGATTAGGCCATAGTTCCACGGTGAAATATTGCCATGAAGCAACAGTTCGCGATTTTTTCCCCTTGCACGTTCTCTAAATTCATCGTTGTGCACCGATTAATTATCAACCGGAACAATATCCAGTTCAATAGGGTTAGAGTTGTGCATTAACATTTCATTCTCGTAAAATGTTTGATCTCTAAGATTAAGAAAATCAGGGAAATTTCCTTTGCTATTTTCTATAAAAAAACATGAATTCATGTCAACAAAAGAGTTTATAAATATAATTAAACATTAAATAGAAACAAAATATTATATTAAAAATAATGAAAACTAAGATTCAATACCTTTGTTTTTCGAGACGTAGAGAAATTTGATTGAAAATTATAAATGAAATAGATAAGAGATAAAAATTAAAAGGAAAAACTAAAACCCCGTTAATTTCACCGATTAGAATTACGACCCAACCTTAGCTCCCGAGATGTGCCGGCCCGGCCCCACCCGTCACACAGTATAGGACCGGGCTGTACCAAGCATGACACTGTAGCGAACTGGGCCGGACCGAATTAAAAGGATTGTTTGGTTGGGGGATTCGTATCCTAATTTGAATCATGATTCATGATAGTATTTTCTTTTTTAAAAATACACGTAAATCGAAAATGATTTTAATCTCATGATTTTAATTTATGAACCAAATGTTAGTGCTCCATTATCAGTGCGACTTTTCTTCTTGATTTCTTTTCTGGGTTTGAAACCCATTTTTTTCCTCTGCATATGAAACGTGATTTCTTCTCATTCCTCCCGTTCTTCTCAGTTGCAAACCTTGTTTTCCTTCTGAAATTTACTCCTACGTTACTAAAACCAAGCTAAACGCACAAATTTCACAAGCAACAATATCAACTAATCACACAAATTGATTCCAAAATCACACAAACTGATCAAAACAAAACCAAAACCAAAACCGAACTAAAATACAAATTCCGCAATCATCAGTATCATCTAATCAGACAAAATGATTTCAGAAATTCCATTGCAAACAACAAAATCAGTTTTCATACACGAAGAAAACAACAAAAAACACCATTTCGGGAGGAGAGAGACGACGTCGGCGAGGTCCGGTGAGTTGGCAACAGAACGGGTGGCAACAGAGGATGGGCGGCGCGGGGGAACAAGTCGCGGACGCTGGGTAGCTGGTTGGAGGAAGCTCGAAGTCTTGAACGCAAGCTGGGGGGAATGGAGAGAGGCGGCTAGGAAGATCAGGGGCGCGGTGGCTCCGGGGAGCTGGACGGCCGCGTGTGGGTGGGCAAGGGTTGGAGTGGTGGGAAATGAAGGTTAGGGTTTTCTCAAGTTCAATTAGGAAATTGTGGGGCTGGAGGGCTGAGATGTGGTGTTCTTAGATCAAGGGTTGACATTAAATAGGGTATTTTTGTCTTTTAACATTAAAATTTTATAGAGTTAAATAGAGGGTGTGTTGGTGTAATTAGAATTGGTCAACGGGATGTCCTTGTTATTATGACAAAACACAGGGGTCCTTGTTATTATTGTTGTAGAACGATATTAAAGTTTGGCAATTGGTATCGACCATTGAAAAAGAGAGAATTTTTTTTTCTTTTATATAATTATCATTTCACAATGTTTCGCAATGACGTATTGATAGCTGAAGACATTGATACTTGCAAAGTAAAACAAAATAGTTACACACAGATATATATATATATATATATATGTATGTATGTACACACTTATTGATATAGCAAAACCAAAAGCCATACTTCTTTATGTGCAAAAATTGCATCATAAACCATAAGAAAGCGACTCAATGTTCTCACACACCCTAACAATTGTCAAAGAGCCGAGCAAATCAGTACAAAGTCACCAAACCAATTTTAAATACATATTTTAAACTTCTTTTTGTGGGGGGTTAAACTAGACTCATTCGGACGTTATGTCTAACACCGATTTGGTTAACCGCAATGACACTCAATTTGAGAAGTAAATGCCAACAAGAAGACGTATAAAACAATGCAATTTTCTTGTTAAGCATCCACTTTATAACATTATTTCCAAGGCAAAAAACACATAAAAACGTCCATGACTTGCTAACAACCCAAAAAAGCAAAATCCCATCTTTGTTTTTCTTCAAGAAATGGGATCAGAAAGTTCAAACCAAGAATTCCAATCAAAGTCCCTGCAAATCCCAGAAGCCAAACAGCCAACGAAAGGCAATTCGGGCAATAACACCATGAGCCCCATATGCAGGCTGAGCCCCAATTACAAAGGTAGTGCACTATATGACTCTTACGAGCTCCAAGCAGTAGTTCACCAACTGAACAAGGCCATTCAAGGTTCAAAAGCATTCTCTCCAATTGGCTTGAAATCTCCATTTTATCGGAAACACTTGAATCGTGTTAACAGAGAAAACAAGTCCCCGAGGAGACTGACTTGTTCCGCTTTTTCATCTGCAACAACACTGGATGATAATAAAAAAGGCAATAGAGGTGCTTGGGTGATCACAAGGGTGGTAGTAACAAGATTATGGATGAAGGTGAAGCAAGGATTTCTGAGGAATAAGAACAAGGAATGAGTTCAAAAGTTGCAGTTCTTTCGAGTCCTCAACCATACGCGTGCAGTTTTGTCAAACTTTTACGCTGTTGTTATGTATAAATTGAAAGGGGTGTTGTCAAGTATCAAACTCTCTCTCTCTCATGGAAACTGGACCTTTTATCAATCACTTGATAGATCATTGCATACTAAGCAACTAATAAATAAGGGTAAACAATGAGAGTAACGAACATCGACAAAAATCACAAAAGCATGACTAGCTAAAAAGTGGGCTACTCAATTCCCTTCACGGGAGGTGTGACAACAAGAAGTCAAGAACCACTAAGACTTTTCTGACATCTGCTAAGATATCAATTTCTTTCAAAGTCTTAAGAAGAGCGAGTTTTTTTTTTTCCTTTTTTTTTTTTTTTTTTCTCTGGTGTACTCTAAAGGCTCTGGCTATACAGGTGTAGTCTCAAGTCTTTAATGGTACTAATGCAGTATCTTCACTAAACATCAAAGACTTAGCGAGTCAATATGAAAGTCAGACGGGCTCTTGTACGTGTATTCCATCAATTTTACAAGAGAAAATTGGTGAACTCATTTTTTAATGCATTGTTTTAAGATTTTTACTAAAAAATTATTAATCAAGAGTAAGTGGTGCAAATCTAAAACATACATTTTAAGGGGTATTTGTCTTTTTTTTTTCATTTTACAATGACTAATTTCAATTACTTGTACATGCCATGCTTTACCTTCTGGTGTTTGAGTATATTACTTTTGTTGTAAAGCAACATATAGATGGACTGGCTAGAGAATCCCTTACTTTAGTATGCCACTTTATTGTAAAGCAGTAAAAGCACCAAATAGATGAACTGGCAAGAAATATTTCCATTATTTCCAGCTAAACTCAGCTTTTAAAGAAAATTGGGGTTGGCAACTCAAATACAACAAAGATGAATATGAAATGCTAAAATTTCTTTCTTTTCAAGAATTACTATCCGTACATCTTAAACGAAGAGGTAGAAACAAAGCAACACAAAACAAAACAGAACAAAATTTCCTTTCTATGGATGTTGAACAAGGTTTTAATCTACAACCATGCTTCAGCTAAGAGCATCGTGTTCAACATCACCAAATATATCATTCACACAAAAAGATACACGTATTGATACAGCGATATAGACAAAGGAAAAAAAAAAAAAAAAAAAAAAAAAAAAAAAAAAAAAAAAAAAAAAAAAGAGGAACAAAAAAGAAAATATTTTGAAGGAAGACACTACAACGGAAAACACCCCTATTGCTGTAAAAAAAATTTCTAGGATAACCTGAGAGCCATTTCTTGAAGAAGAGCCCGCTTCTGCGAAGCATTGATAACATGGTTGGTCTCGGCATCACATCCGTGATTATGGCAGCTGCATGACCAAGTGGCTCCTCAGAGGCCCTCTTCAACATGAAAGCCTATCCAATGCAAATGTGTAAGCCAATGTCCTCTATGCTTGAGAAAGAAGAAGAGGAAAGACCAAGAAATACGAAAAATAGGTATTTACTACAAAACTAATAGGTAACCTTTTTATTATCAACCCATGGCCCAAAGGTACAAGCTTAGAAACAAGTAAGAACCATTAAGCAATTATTCTATAAAGTCGATAAATAACTTGGCTTTATTAATGCATCGTTGGAGATAACACACGATATCAAAAATAGAAAAAAGGGAATGTTTAATGCAACAAAATGCACGGAGAGACCTGGCCATGATGAGAAATGGCTAATGTGCATTGTTGTTGAAACCAGGGTTCACCATCAATTTGAACAGGGAATGCAGCAAAAAGCTGTATCTTGATTGATTGACCCTGCGCGAGCCTCCGAGCACGAGATAGGCCTACCTGTTGCCAATAACAAAATAGCAGTTATTTAGCATCTCCACAATGTTCCCAATACCCAAAATTAAGCAGTAATTGAAACAACCTAGTCCTCTGGACGTAGTTAGAAGTATTTTAAAGCTATCAAAACAAATAGATTCAGCAGTTGAAAAAAAAAAAAAATCTTTCTGCCCAGTCAAACTCCCGTTCAAAAAAGGGACAAATCTCCCTTCTTTTTTTCCCCCTCTCCCTTCAGATATAGAAGGCAGAAAAACTTTCTGCCACACTACTTTTTTGAAATATGTACATAACAGGTAAGAACAAATAGAATAGCTTTGCCAGCCCTCCTCCTCCAACAGATTGGAAAACGCAACATACCTGAAGCTTCCCAAGGTGCCAAGTCCCAGATATGCTCACGACCTCAAGTATTTTATCATGCATGGATTGTGGATCAAAATCATCATAACTGTCATCCTCATTTTGCCACAAGTCTACACCACCCATATAGCTTCCGATGTTTGCAACTAGTACCCCTTCTGCATCCTGAAAAAATACATGTCAAAAAATGTAAGACCAAAGTTTCACAATTCTTCAATATGCTATGGTTCTATTTGGGCATGCAATGACATAACTGATACAAGTGCTTGATAATTATTTCCGACTCACCTCAGGCACCTCTATCTCAACACCATCAACTTCAACTCGCACTTGCCAAGGGAAATCTTCAAATGTTCTATCCATGATATTCTTAGCACCTTCTCTCGCATAAAGAACTTTATTCATAAACTGCAGGTAAGAAGGAGACTTATAAAAAAAAAAAAAAAAAAAAAAAAAAAAAACCACAAAAAAAACAAAAAAAAAAGAAGCAACAAAAAATTGAGACCCTTCTTTTAACAAAAAGTTGGGGAGACCCTTCCTTCTTTTGCTTTTCTAAGTATTTGTTTTATATTTCTGTTCATAAAAGTACTTGATTTACAGATAATACAAGAAATTGGCCTTGATCAATACCAAAATGCTGCCGTCATTATTACCTCACAACCTTTACTTGTTTGTGAGGTCTAATGATGCAGTGGAATGGAGAAGATAGAATTACCAGCCTAACTGATATCAATATCTCAAATATTCAAGTCTAATTATTACAATAGCTAATGTGGCTATATTTATAGCTCACAGACAAAATGATAATTAAATAAAAAGTTCCACTAAGACAGACGACAAGCTAATAACAAAACAAAGCTAAATTAATAAGCTAGCATAAACGACAATGAAAATATAAAAACGAGTAGCTAAATCTTCCTACATCATCTACCTAAGTCTGAGAGAACTTCAAAGCAAACCAACACATGTTCTATCTAAGATTTTACCTGGTTGTAGAACTTTTCTGGATTCTCCTCTCGTAGGTTATGAATATCAAGAGCAACCTTTGCATCACATCCAATTCCTGAGAATAAAACTCGTCACAGTTAAGCCTGAGAATAAAACTCGTCACAGTTAAGTACCATAACATGTAATAAGAAGATGGAAAATACGAGACTGGGTGATTGCTAAATAACAAGTTCACATACCAAGATAGTTGTTCATGAATTTAGGAGGTTGAAGCTGTTTTCCTTGTTGATTTAAAATTGCTACTTTCCACCGGTCAAGGATTGTCACCGCAGCATGCTCTATGTCATGCAACACCGTGCAGAGGCCTCCTTGTCTCTCCACAGAGCCCAAACCACCTCCCCAGGACAGAACCCTGGCCAGATCGTTTCCTGTTCCAGCAGGAAGAATGGCTACAGGAGGAGGAGAGACAAAATTTTGCTTATCTATGGCATCAAGAACCCAACCAACAGTGCCATCTCCACCACAAACAAAAACTCTGAAATGAGGCACCTTTCTGAATAAATAGAAACCCATCTCCGGTCCTTGTGTTGAGCTTAACTCACATATCTACGTGAAGCAAAAGCATACAAAAATAAATAAATAAAACATAGCATTATTAAGGATCATTAACAAATAACCACCTATGTTCAAGTTGATAACATATCAACAGGATTACAGATTGCCACAAAAAACCTAATTTTCAGACATCAATATTCTTAGTCAGTTCCTATTAATCAAAAGGTGGCATTCCTAACTGAAATATCAAAAAGTAGCATGCTTGGTACCATGTATTATAAACAAGATATATTTGTTAGAGTTTCTCCATAAAAGATATCATATTTTGCCCAAGTAAACAGAAAGACAGAAACAAAAAAAAAAAGGGAGATAACTCATATTCAAAACTTGTTAGGATAAGGCAAGCACAAAGATCCTTATTAGGTCACAATTTATTGGAAAAATCATAATTAAACATTAAGGACACAAAAGACAAGAAGATAAAAACTCTGGCCTTACAGCATTAAACAACCCTTATCAGTGTTACCATATGCGATATAACTCCAGATTTTGTATTTCCTCATACAAATTACACAAATTCACTCTCTCTTTTTTCAAACAATTATACATTCATATCTTATCAATCAAAACCACCATTGTCCAAGGAAAATTAGAACTAACAATTTAATATGATTCATACTCAGAAAGGTAAGCGTCTAAGAAATCTATGGTAGAAATAAAACCTGAGCCGGATTTAGAAGAATATTCAGTCGCAGCCTCAACAAATTCCCGCGTTGAGCTCCACTCTTTTTATTTATGAAAACTAACAAGGGCCTTGCATCTGACGGCAAATCAGTCAACTCATATCTTTGTTTCTGCCTCAGAGACTCATCCTTCCTACCAATCGATGAGGTTCTTTTAAAACTGGGCTTGGAATCCAGTTTCTTATCTACATTATCATCCTTGTGATGAGCATCTACGCTTGTGCTACCATTACAATTTCCATCTACATGAGTACCATTAACAGCTTGGTGAGTGTCAGCAGTGCTTTCTGTGGACATATCCACAGTACTAGCACTATTTCCCGAGTCAACAGAGGCTTCATTTTCATGCTTGTACTTCTTGCTCTGGCTCCTAATACTAGCACGCACAGAAGACGCTATCTCATTTGCTCCATGTGTAATTGAGCTCAAAAATCCACCTGCCGAAGGCCGGCTGAGTTCCTTAACATAAAGTGGAGGCAGAATCAACCTTCTATATGGGCCTAAATCACATATATCACCTGATTCATTAGACAAACTACTGTGGCAATCAACATGAACAAGTCGTTGACACCACAAGCAACACCATATAGGAGATCCACCAAGAAAAGATCCACTACACTGCTCTTCACAATAGCTACAGAAAGAAGTTTCTTCAGGTTGATCCAGAACCTCAGTCCATCTGACAGCCCACTGATGCATCACATGTTCAAAGCCAGTCATAGAGACGCACTTGCAATCCTTGTGTGCTTTAGAAGAGCAATTTAGATGAGCTGCTGCACCGCAAATGCTACAAAGGTGAATAAAACTATCCGAGCCCGCTATAGGACCAAGAGTTTGAGAAGGGTTGACCAATTTCAAACACACACAGCAGTTTAAGTTCTTTCCACGAGATACAGAGTCCATAGTCCAAGTATGAGAAGATAGAGGAACTTTGTTTTTGGCTTTCGGGTTTACCTTCGACCTGGTTATGGCTTTCATCCAACTCAGATTGATGTTTCTCCTCCATTGGAAAGCCGTGTAGGCTATAGTTAAAATCCCAACAAGGGCAGCAATAAAGCAAGAGATAATAAAAAGTCGATCACTCGGGTTCTTGTTGTTCCAACTTGGAAAAAATATCTCAAATTCTCCAAGATCATCCATCGTACCTCTCTTTTGTTCTATACACAAGACTAAGCAATAAACTGCTAAATCACCACAAATTACAAGCCTACTTAACTGGGATAAGTAACAAAACAAACATCATCCATCACGCCCGCAATTCAAAGATATGATCATAATGCTTACATTCCTTTCCAGATCCAACTCACTGCCTACTTGATTTCACTTATTGAGCAAAAATGAGTCCAGTGCTTGTGAAATATGCTACTAAATACAACAACTCCACCCTGCTTCCTACAACTAGAATGCTTGAACCACATCCTTGATTCTCATAAAGCAGTTCTAACCGTTTGTAACGACCTCAAAATTTCATGGGCAAATATCAGACAGTTCCTGCAAAACATGAAATATAAACAATATGGAATGACACACACACATATGTTGAGCTCAAAATTGAAATTAGAATCCTCGTCGTACTAAAGTTGTAAAAGAAAAAAAAAATATCAAACATAGAAATCCTATTCTAAATGAACTTTCTAACAATTACATAAACAATCAAACAAATAAGAAAATAAGTTTCATAATAAAATTTAAACTCCTAAACATCAATCAGAAGAACAAAACACTTTAAGCGAAATATGCATTGGCTGTTTCCAATAAGAAAAAGAAAGATGTAAAGAGAAAAGAAAATCAGAAGTAAACAAAAAAAGTAACGGTAAGTGGTTTAGATCATAGTCCAATGTAAAAACCTAAAACTCTGGACCACCTTTCCTTCTTTAGAAATCAAACCACAGCCAATGAGGCGATTATTCACTTTCCATTTCAATTTCTCAGCAGCCAAACAGAAATTTCAAGGCGAAGAGCAATACAGCACAACACAGATATACAGACATATACATACACAGTTCCATAACACATATTCAAACGCACATACAACGCAAACAAAAATGGCATTGAGAAGAAGAAAACTTCAAAAACAGGAAATAAGATCGTTCAAAAGCATAAAGAAACTCACGGTGAATCACTGTGAATGAGACGTGTCGATGGAATCGATCACAGGAAACCCTAATTGGAGCTTGATCCACGAAGAGAGAGAAAGAGAGTGGGGGGAGAGAGGGAAAGCGAAAACAGAGAAGCGGAACGAAACCCAAACGCGAAGCTATTAATATTATTCTCAAATCCAAGAAAAGCATGGGCTTTTCTGATGGTGGCAAACATTTTTTAATTTACCCTTTTTTATACTCTTTTCTTTCTCTAAATTCCTTTTATTATTCTTAAAAAATACACACACTAATTCCTAAATTGAAACCCACTTTCTGTTTTTTTTTTCAAATGAAATTTCCCTACTAATTCCTAAATTGAAAACCACTATCTGATTTTTTTCAAATGAAATTTCCCTCATTTGCAATTAATAGTAAATTTAATGTAAAATTCTCCATTAAGTGAAAAATTATGTGTTCTTTTAATTAACAAAGTTTAAGAAGTTATTCCTTTATTTATTTATGTGAAAAGAAAATTAGAAAGTGAATGAAAAAAGGAAAAGAAAAAAAAACAAAAAAGATTCTGTGAGAGTATTGGTGCGGGTGAAGTCCAAAAGGCGCGTAGAGATACGAATCTAGTTCGGAGCGCACCACGTGGCAGGCCATGAGCTAATGTGGTGTAAGGGTCTTTGGGTCCCACATTGTCACTGTGGCTAGTTTTTGTGCTGACAAGTTTACCCATTTGACAAATTGTGGGGCCCAGTTTGCTTTCGTCACACAAAATGTTGATTGGACAGGGTCGGCTAGACTACGTCGACGTGGCGTCTAATAATTAATAAGAGATAGTTTAAAGATTTAGGTCTCGTTCACTTTACCGGTTTAAATTTTTACAGTTAAAAATTTTTAAAAAATATCATATTTATTTTTTGTTATAATTAAAAATTTTAAAAAAATATCACATCTAAACTCAAATTGAAAATTTAAATTTATAAAACGAACGAGACCTTACTTTTAAATTATTATTCTCATTAGTATTGGACAAATATTTACGGGGAAACACTTGTAGGATCATCCGGCGAGAATAACGATGGCGGTGTTTAGAATTGATCCTATTTTTATTTTCACGTTTTTTGATAAAGAAAAAATGAGAACGTTTTTAAAACGGCGTTTGGCAATAAAGACAAAAAATATAAATAAAAATGATTTTTTAGTTTAATGTAAAATAAGAGAGAAATGAAAAACGACTTTTAGTCGTTTATTGTTTTTTATTTTTATTTTCTCCTCTCTCGAGTAGAGAGAGAAAGAGAGACATTAATGTATTTTTATACACTAAAAATAATCTTTTTATAAAACTAACAAACATATTTTTAAAAATAATTTTTATCTAAAATTAAAAATATTTTTATTTTTATTTTTATATAAAAAATAAAATTATTTTATAATAAGTTTCAAACGCGTCCCGGACATGTCATATACAACATTATCTAGTAATTTCTTTAATTCTTTTTCATCTAGATTTTTGGTGTCGTGTACAACATTAGCTGGTAACTTCTTTAATTCTTTTCATCTAAAATTTTGGTGTCGTTTGCTTGGAGATGTCATGTCATGTCCTTTTTGCCATCCAAAAAGCAAACAATTGAGACTTGCTATAATTTAAAAGTTTGAAAGGAATGACACGTACAAATTGCTACAAATTGTGGGATATATATATAACGATTATATAAATAAGGTAAATAAATAGTAAAAGACAAATATAGAGAAAAAATACTTTTATTAAAGTTTCACTCTTTCTTTTCTTCCGTTTATTCTCTCAAAATACTTTTCTCTAACATCTATTTCTCACTGTTTTCTCTCTTGCCTTGTGCAGGAACGAGGAGGACCTATTTATAGGATCAATTAGAGGCATCTTCATGTTGTTACCTACGTAGGAAACTTGTCAAGAAAGTTATTTCACTTGCTTTTGCAAGTAAACTTCTTCTCATGCACAAAGTTTCAATGAAACTTTCATTAATGAAATTTGTTTCATCAAAATTTCTCTGAATAAAAATTGTTTCATGAAAGCTACAGACGATCATCTAAACTTTCACAACACAAACCAAAATTTAGGGCCACACTGTCGAGAGAATGTTCAATTTGCGGACATTTATGCAGTATAAAACGGTAAATTCTAACAGTAAGTTTTCAACTCTGTTTTTATTTAGAATCTGTCCTCAAAGTTGATCGTTCATGGGAAAAACGGTTTAATTTAGATTTCATTCAAGTAAAAAAGTGCCGGGAGTCTGTCGTTTTCTAAGTTTTCAGTCGTTTAGGCAGTCTAGTCACGCATATTTCCTGTATTTATTTGGAGCAAAAAAAAAATTATCATGCGTGTGAGAATAAACAAACTTTTACTTAGATAAGCATTAGTATTTTTTCCCGCTCGTTACTGCGGGAAGACTGTTATATTATGGAAGAGGTTAAGAATTTTTACATTGTAGTATTATTTTATATATATAAACATAAGTACATATACATTTTTATTTAAAGGTCTAAGGTTCATATAAATAGTTTGATATATATATATTGAAAGGTCTAGTAAAAAGGCATATACATTATATTACATTTTTTGCTTGTCTTTTTTTGCTGGTTGTTCAGAACTTGAGCTGCAAAATTGAAATTTTTGAAAAAATTAGTACAATTATTAGAAAAGTTAAAATGAAAGATTTAGAAATAGTAATATTACTTGGTTCTTGTGTGTTTTCTAGATGGCTCTGCTCTTTTTGGTTCAGAACTGCGGCAATAATGAATTGTTAAGATGTTTGTTTAGAAGGTTGAATTATGATATTAATAGGTTATTGATACAGTTGTATAAATATATCGTACATGTTTGTTAATTTTTTTGGATCATGTGTTTCTGGGTTTATTACTGGTGTTGTCAAGGGTTGTGGTGGTGGCAGTGAGGGTCTGGGATCTTCAAATATTTTAGAAGCAATTGCAGATACTTGTGTTCCTCTTTGTTGAAAATAAATTTAGAAGATCTTTGTTTGCCCTCTTAGTTGATCGATTTGTAGTGGTATTATAGATGGATCAGTAAAGCCTTCATTAATTGTTATTGTAGAGCATGGTTTTTTGACCAGCGCTTGTGCTGCTCTGTCAAATATCATGATGTTCATGTTTCAGGTATTGTTTGTGATTTATGTATTTAATCTGTACCTATAATATGCATAATAGCAGTTTATTAATATAGTCATTTATTTATTGTGATCAATATTGATAAATAAATTATATTAATCATATATTGATAATTTTTCTTACCACGGGGATGGCATTGTATTTATGTGACCGTGGCTATCGCACCACCAACCATGGCTTGTTTGTTTTAGTTGTCTATAACATCTGGGGCATGAATTATAATACCATCCTTGGTCTGTCGCAAACCCGGTTATTGTAGCTTTGACTGTGAATTTGGTGCCCTTAATAGATAAAGGAAATTTGTTAGTTTGAGTAATAATATTAAAGAAAAAAGAAAAAGATTATATAAATAATACTTACTTAGTGAGTTTCTAGATCTACTGTTTTAAGATCATTGATTGTTCTTTTGTTTTTTGTAATTTGCTCTTCTATTGTCTGTGTTGTCACTGTTGATGCTGGTAGGAATTCGATTTGCTGAATTTGGAGCGAGAACCTGTTTAGGTGAAGGTAAGAATGATTGTATAAAAAGATTGTATATGTTTATAAGGATTTTGTGTTGTTTTTGTTACATGATTTTTAATGTGTTTGTTTCTGATATGTCTGGATTGATATAAAGATTGTTGCTGCAGTGCTTGAAACATATCGTTTTCCTAAAATGTTGATATTTATTTAATAAGTATTTTGGTGTAGGAATGTTCCTTATATGTTTAAATATTATGATAACATTTTTGTGAAATACCTAGATATTGTTTAGCTGATACCGCGGCAACACTGCAACTGTTGGTGGCTCAATGGATTGGATAACGTTCTCATCAAATTGATATGCTTTGTGTCCCCATAAAGTGACTCGTAGTTCTTCATGTCTGTTCATAATATAGAGTGATAAGAAAATATTAGAATTGATATTTAAGGTAATGGAAAAGATTTATGATTTTATTGAATTTTTTTTATCACAATAGAACGTCGTGATGTTGATATGCTTTGCATGTTTGTCTTTTCAATTGTTTGAACACTTATAATGACTCCAATAACATCTGTTATTTAATAAATAAGAGGTGTTGAGGTGTTATAAATATATGTTAATAAATTAATGAAGGTTTTGATTTATTTGTGTAAGTAATGTGCATTACCTGTTAAAATTTCTGTGGTGTTAACTTTTTGCTGCAGCTGATCAAATTCTGTGAAGTGGAATCGGAGGCGGTTCTTCGATGACTGGGATAAAGAATGTTGCTCTCGCAAATTGAAGCATTGCATTATGTGGCACCACTTTATATGTTAGCTTATTTTGTGTAACAAAGAAATTAGTAATGTCATATATACCACCTTGTTGTATTTTTTGAGAAATGATATCTGAATCTCGTGCCCGTATTGATCCTTGTATTGCTTCATGTTGTAGATATGGAAGAGACGAAAGTTAGTTATATTATGATATTCGATACTGTATAGAATCATATGTAATTTAGTTTTTATAAAAGTTTTTACTTCTTTGTCAACTAAGATGCACTCAAGACTGATTAAACGTCCTATAGTGAATTCGTTGTTTGTCCATAACTTGGATACTCTTGCTCTAATAGTGATGTAGACTTCATTTGGTCTTAGCGTGCGGATAGGTGTAGTTATTTTCTTAATGATTGAAGATAATGTATAAATGGTTAGTATATGATCAAATAACTTTATTGAATCTGTATATGAATAATTGCTAAAGATGTGTTATGATAGTGCAAAGGAAATGGTATTATATATATTTTTATGTAATATTTTGTACAATTTCTTTATAGACTACATTTTTAATGTGATTTGGATACTTGTTTATTGAGTTGTGTATTAGTATGTGCAATCCTTCTGGGGTTGTTGCTCTTGATAGGGCAACGTATAATTGGCCATGGGTAAAAATCTCACTTTCTAAGTATAATCATACTTTATTTAAGGATTGTCCTTGGCTTTTATTTATTGTCATCGCATAGCAAATTTTTACAGGAAACTGTCGTCTTTTTACTGTAAATGGTCATTTAGATTCATGTACAGTCATTTCTACTCTTAGAATATAAACTTT